CTGGCGGGCTCTGTTGTGATTGGTCAACCGCTTAGAGATGTCCCGCCTCTTAGCCTATCATGTACAATGTGTTGGAGCGCTAGCCAATAGAAACATAAGTGTTACGTAGTGATGTCACTATGCACTGGTAGTAAAGTTGAGTCAAAAAGCTCTTTATTTTTCTCATACTGCCTGTGCTGCAGCACCTCTTTTCACCCTCCGTCTGAAACCAGAGCCCAGTCTGCTCTGATTGGTTAGCTGGCTAGCTCTGTTGTGGTTGATCAACCGCTTGGAGATGTCCCGCCCCTTAGTCTATCACGTACAATGTGTTGGAGCGCTAGCCAATAGAAGAATCCCCAACCCTCTGCAGGGAACTTTGGGATTTTAGTCTTTGCAGACCATTTACATGCACACAAACCTAAATAACAAACTACAGGAAAGGGAAAACCCCAAAAGGCATAATAGGGCCTCTTTAAGCTATTAAGATTCTGATTCAAAGGTGTCTTTAAACGTGTATTCAAAAAAGATGGAGTATTTCTGTGGCCAATGACTTTTATTCCATTGAAGGTTTGACGGTCTGGATGGCTTGGCTGAACACGACGAGTTTCTCCCCCACAAAGCTGGAGTCAAGAAGGAAAACCACTTCACAGATGTGAGTGCTTCTACTCAGCAATATGTTAGAAAACATGTTGTTGGGTTCTGTTGTTGATTCAGATGAATAAAGACTTTTAAAACGGTATCTCTGTGTTTAATCCTCTCCTGCAGTTCGAGGGGAAGACTTCTTTTGGCATGTCCATCTTTAACCTCAGTAACGCTATTATGGGCAGCGGGATTCTGGGATTGGCTTTTGCGATGGCCAACACCGGAATTATTCTTTTTCTGTGAGTATGCAAGCCTAACACAATCCTCATTTTGGTTTAACATCGTGCCTGGCTGTTTTTCTCTGTGTGTTTGTGTATTTTTCCAGCCTTTTATTTACTCAACGCTCAGTATTAAGTTGTAATATGATTCCCAATTGAGTAGTAGTATCTTGATTTCAGGTTTTTGTGAAGCCAATGTTCACACAAGGCTGTTTGTCGTATGTGTTAGAGTTTAAGGTTTTAGAAAATGATACAGTGGAGATTTTAAAGTAATGTTTGCTGCTCCTGACTATATACGTTTTTCCAAGGCCTTATTTAAAAAAACTAATACTTTTATTCCTTTATATTTTTGAAAAAAAAAGAAGCTTTTATCAATCATTAAAGGTGGGGTAGGTAATTTAGGAGAAACCAGCTCGAGTGCGCTACAATTTGAAAATACACAGCCGGAACAAATCTGCCACTTCCTTACAGAGCCCCTCCTCCAACACACACGAACGCGCACATGACCAATAAGGGCACGAGATAAGTTTTTGCACAGATGGAAGGCTGACAGGCAGGTAGGCCATCCAGTTACTTTAGCCGGGCCGGCTCAGATGATTGGTCGTGCTTTTTACAGCGCCATGGCTTCCACAGATGACATTTTTTTATGGATTTTTGTCAAAGCACTTCAGATATTCATCATTGCTATCGGGATGTTAAGAGCATTCCATGGAATATAACAAAAAGTGTATCTCGAGCCGGTTTCTCAAACGTACTTACCCCACCTTTAAATCAAAACTTTATTACAGACTTGAGGTCCAGATAGAACACAAAAACCCTTGGAAACTGCATTTACTACATTTTCCTACAATGAGGCCACTCTACAGATGTCTCCACAGCTTTTACAGACCTAATTTATGTATATTTCTAGCAGTGTGTGTGTGTGTGTGTGTGTGTGTGTGTGTGTGTGTGTGTGTGTGTGTGTGTGTGTGTGTGTGTGGCGCATCAGGGCAACGCAGATTCCCTAAATCAGATTTAAGTGTTTAAAAATAGCCCGTAGTGATCAGATCCAAGAAACGCCTGCTGGATCAGTCCTGTGCTATGTGGCAGGGAGGAAGGGGGGAGGAGACGGAGGAAGGGGGGAGAAGAGGGATGAAGGGGGGAGGAGAGGAGAGGAAGGGGGGAGGAGGTCTGGACTGGAGAGCCGCTCTCTCTGGAAGACAAACTAACTTGTGTGGGCGCAGAAGAAAAAACAACAATGACAAGAATGGCTTGTTCGGATTGAGCTTCTCGTTTCTAAAGAGAATAACATCGTTTTTCTCTCTTTCTTTCCGTCTGTATTTATTTTTAATTAATGAGCTCAGTTTTAACTCTATATTAATCTCCAGATTTGAAGGAGCTTTGATACAGACTTGCTTTTAGCTTTAAACTTCCATAATATTCTTCCTAATTTCCTCGGATCAATTATTTTTTACCATGACTTCCACACCTACTAGTTACTGTTTTTTAAAATTGCCATTATAATAATCTTTTTTTATTTTGTGAATGTATTTTTATGTTATAATGATGTGGTTTTTATAATGATGGAGAGCCATGAAGTGTCTCTCATCAATACGGTGGATCTCAAGGGGGTTTCAATATGCTGACATTTTATTTACCATGTATTTAATTGATTAATAGAGAAAATAATCTATAGCTGCAGCCTTAAAAAGTACGAAATATACTGTTTTTGTATATATTGATGTATATATACTGTATGCACAAAATATGTTGTTCCTTAGTAACCCCTTAAAAATAAAATGGTGCATCTCAAGGGTTTTATATGAAAACAAAGTATTCCATTGTACTTTACTTAAGTATTTAATTTAACATCCTACATGTACATAGTGTACTTACTCCTGGACTTTTTATTGTGCCATTTTCTTACTTGCACCTTTTTCTTACACTATTTATGTATTTTTTTTTCAGGATGCTGCTGGTGTCCATCGCCCTTCTGTCTGCATATTCAATTCATCTCCTGTTGAAAAGTGCTGGAGTTGTCGGTGAGCTGGATTCAACACACACACAACTTAGCAAACAAAGCCATTTAGTTGTATAACTCCTCACACTCATTTCTAATGTTCCTCAGGTATCCGTGCTTATGAACAGCTGGGAAATCGGGCTTTTGGCATCCCGGGAAAAATACTGGCAGGGTGCACCATTTCAGTACACAACATTGGAGGTAATGTCTTGTTATTTCCTACCTTTAAAGATTATTTTTTAATATATTTAAGCAAAATGCATTTCACAAGATATTACTGACTGATTTCATTTCCTTTTAGCGATGTCCAGCTACCTCTTTATCGTCAAATCTGAGCTCCCTTTGGTTATTCAAGCCTTCCTCAGTAAACAGGAAAACACAGGGTGAGTGTCAGAGTCATATTGAGATGTATTCACAGTTTCTGTTTGTTGTGTTTTTTTGTAATGACTTTCTTTTTTCACCTGTTTGTCTGGTTGTTTCTTAGAGAGTGGTACTTGAATGGAAACTACTTGATCATAATAGTTAGTGTTGCCATCATCCTTCCTCTAGCACTCATGAAACAACTTGGTATGTTTTTCTGTTGTCACATTTCTCTTTCATTTAACTTTTGACTCCTCATACTTTCCCATATTACATCATGTTTTCACTTTCTTTTTTACATGTACTGTACTTTTATGAGCTTTTCTGGAAAAGTACCATCACTTCTTAATACAGTTCTTAATATGGTGTTATCATTGCCCACAGGTTACCTTGGCTACACGAGTGGCTTCTCCCTCTGCTGCATGGTGTTCTTCGTCATTTCGGTGAGTGTACAAATATTCAGGAAAGATATACACAGTGTTTCACAACAAAACCACCTGACCACATTCCCTGTGTTTTTTACACACTCCTGGGTTTACTTAATTGTGTGTATATTTTTTATATATTTATATTTATTATAAATATTTTCTTTTGAGTCAGTCAGTCTGTTAATTAGTCATTTAGTTAATTGGCTTGCTAGCTTTTTAGTGAGTTAAGTAGCTAGTCAGTCAGTTACAGTAGTTAGTTAGTTAGTTAGTTCGTTTTTTTGTCAATTAGTTAATTGGCTTGCTAGCTTGTTAGTGAGTTAGGTAGTCAGTCAGTCAGTCAGTCATCTAATTATTGATTTAGTTAACTAGTAAGTTAGTTAGTGAGTTAGTTACTTAGTTAGTCAGCTAGTTATTTAGATATCTAGTAAGTTAGTTACTTAGTCACTTAGTTTGGTAATTTGTTAGTTATTAAGTTAGTCAGTCATTTAGTTAGTTAATTTGTTGGATAGTTAGTTAATTACTTAGCTAGGGTAGTTAGTATGTGAGTTATTTAGTTAGTTAGTAAGCTAGCCAGTCCGTCATTAGTTAGTTAAAAAGTTGGAAAGTTTGTTTCTTTGTTACTTAGTTACTTATTTAGTCAGTCAGTCCGTCAGCTAGTTATTTAGTTACTACTAAGTTAGTTATTTTTTATAATAATTCACATTTAATTCCTTGTATGTTTAAACCTACTTTGCAAAACCCTGTTTCTGTTTCTGATTATGATGTTTTTCTAATCATTATTTATCTTTGGTTTTCCCAGGTTATCTTCAAGAAATTCAACATCCCGTGTCCCCTGGTTGATCAACATCAAAACAACTTTACAAGTGATAATGTTATCAAACACATGAATGTGACAGACGACTTCTGTGAGCCCAAAATGTTTACCACTAACTCACAGGTCAGAGGAAACATTTTTACTATGCCTGCGCCTAAGTCTCTGAATCTTTAATGTATTCCTTGGTTAGCACCATAGACTGTATATGGTTAGCATGCCAGATTCTCTGTCATGTGTTAGTATGGCTATCAGTAGAGGTTGTTATGTCAACAGCAATAAAGTGTACAATGTCAACAGTAGTGTTTGGTTTAAAATATGGATGTGTTCTCGAATGTTTGTCCGGTGGGTTATTCACTGACCTTTGATATGACTTGCTTTTAGACAGCGTACACCATCCCAATTCTGGCCTTTGCTTTTGTCTGCCACCCCGAGGTGCTGCCAATCTACACCGAGCTACGAGAGTAAGTCAGAATGCCGTCATGCATTTCACAAAATCTCAAAAATAATTATCTTATTGGAACACAGAGAGATGTGCTAAAAGGTTAAGGGAAAAATTAACATAGTTTTTTCCTAACATTTAATTAAAATACATTTTCTGCTTTTCTTTACCACAGCGCCAACAAGAAACGAATGCAGAACATCGCTAACGTCTCCATCCTGGCCATGTTCGTCATGTACCTAATAACGGCTCTTTTTGGTTACCTCACTTTCTTTGGTAAGCAGTGGTTAACTAAGTATTTTTACTTAAAGTGGACCTATCATGCTATATTTGAATACTATAGTGTAGGACCATACCTATATAAGGAATATTTATACTTTTCATTTTTCAAAATACCAAACAGATCATGCATTTTAGCCATTCCTCATTTTGCTCAATTTAACACTGCCTTTCATGCTCGGATTCAGTGAGAACAGCACCATCTGGTGGCCTGGCATATGTACTACAGCGTCTCCAGCGCTTTCGACCGGCAATGTCCGTGGCTGTCTCCTCCTGATTGGTGGAGTTGGCCCAATAGCCGTAGCGCAACTTCTGTGACGACATAAAAGTGTTCAAATCTGGATCAGTCTGTATCAGATCCGTTGCAGCCCCTTTTTTAGAGATTTGGGTATGGAGGAAAATAGAGAGGGTTGTGTTTTCTGACACTTGGTGAGTTCCCTGGAACACCGGGGACACATATTCATGTAGAAAAGACGTACAAAAGTGCATTTTGCATGATAGGTCACCTTTAAAGATTGTCTAATATGCTTTTTGTGGTTCTACCATACTTGTAATGTGTTATGGGTTTTTGTGCATGTAAATGGTCTGCAAAGAGTACAATTCCTAAATACCCTACTATTCCCAACACCCACGCCTCCATTTGACTCCTTTGTTTACTTCAGTAACATAATGACAATACTACGTTACACCTGTGCTTCTATTGGCTAGCGCTCCAACACATTGTACGTGATTGGCTAAGGGGCAGGACATCTATAAGTAGAAACTCCAGAAAAACGCGATCCTGCGATCGCAGAATTTATCGCATAATCAGCAAAATGGCGCAGATTTTTTAAAAGGCCACATATTTATCAAAAGGCCGCATAACCCCCGCATTTTTCCACACAAAGTTGAGAAAAAAAAAAGTTAACTCGTCNGTAGGTAATTCACTTCAGAAACACTTTTTGTTTTATTCCATGGAATGCTCTTAACATCCCGATAGCAATGAATATATTAAATGCTTTGACAATAAATACATACAAAAATGTCATCCTGGAAGCCGTAGTACTGTAAAAAGCACGACCAATCATCTGAGCCGGCCCGGCTAAAGTAACTGGATGGCCTACCTGCCTGTCAGCCTTCCATCTGTGCACAAACTTATCTCGTGCCCTCATTGGTCATGTGCGCGTTCGTGTGTGTTGGAGGAGGGGCTCTGTAAGGAAGTCTGAAGGAAGGGGCAGATTTTTTCCGGTTGTGTACTTTCAAATTCTAGTGCACTCGAGCTGGTTTCTCCATTCTTACCTACCCTACCTTTAAGTAAAAGCATCAATAATAAATGTAAAAATACTCTGCTACATGTAAAAGTACAAAAGTATTGGCATCAAATTTAACTGAAAGCACCAAAAGCGATTTTTGGTCGAGCCAAAGTGCTGTACATATAATAAAAACACATTACTACAATCACAATAAAAGACAATAATTGACAACAGAAATATAAAAAACAAAAACACAGGGAATAGTCAGGTGTCATACTCCGCTCTGACTAGAAGGCCAGAGAGAAGAAGTGTGTCTTTAGTGTAGATTTGAAAATCATAGAATATATATCACATTACTTAACTATTGATGCATTATTGTGTTAATAACTCCCACACTGTTACATGGGCGCTGCACAAGGATGGGTTGTATTCACAGTCTAAATGTCCCTCTGTGTGCAGTTCTGTTTACATGTGCGTGAAAATTAAGAGAATATTTCATTTAAATCTTTCATTTCTATTTCCATTTTCTAAAATGAGAGTAAAGTTGTTGTTTTTTCCATATGCTGACTCAAAGAGCTGGCTTTGTCGGTCAAAGGTCACCTAGTTCAGATGTTGTGAATGGGGATATTTTTAAATGAATGAGCCACTTGTATCCAGAGCCCATGTGTACTTTCCAGTGTTGTGAATGAAGGGATAGACCACGTGTAAAGAGCTTCTGTGTGTTTATGTGTTTATGTGTGTGTGTGTTTGTGTGTGTGTGTTCAGGTGCTGTGGAGTCAGAGCTGTTACACACCTACAGTCAGGTGGACGCCCTGGATGGCCTGATGCTTTGTGTACGTCTAGCCGTGCTGGTGGCCGTCACTCTGACTGTCCCCGTCGTTCTTTTCCCGGTAAGACATCTGTCAACATGAATAATAACTATATTTAGGTTATGATTTCCTTACTCTTTCCACAAATTCAACACACTTTACATAATAACAAAAGTAGATTGAGATCAAATAGATGAAACGAAGTGACACAAAAGAGAGGTTAAAACAGTATGATACCATCTGCTGAATAATTGATTTGCTTAAAATAATGTTTCTGCTTAAATGATTTCCTCTTCTAAATTGTGTACATTTCAGTTTTTCTTTGTTGCTTTTGGACCACAATTAAACATTCAATTTGCCAGAATTTTATATCCCAAATAATACAAATATCAATTAGGAACAGTAATCCATAGTTGCAGCCTTATAGAACTTTATAAAATGTATATAAAAATTGCCTTATGCAAAATACTTGAATAGGATTTTCTATCCAATTTATTATTTATTTAAAATGTTATATGATATTATTTACATTACATTGCATTTAGCTGACGCTTATATCCAAAGCTTTCTGCTGTCCTGATTTCAATGGGGAGCTCATTCCACCATTTTGGAGCCAGGATAGCAAACCCACGTGTTTTTGCTGATGGGAACTTGGGTCCCCCTCGCAGCGTGGGTGCAGCGAGCCGTTTGGCCGATGCAGAGCGGAGTGCACGTGCTGGGGTGTACAGTTTATTATATTTATTATTTGTATTTCTATGTATACAAAAACCTGTATACAACAAAATAATCAGTTAGGATTAGGAAAAGATCTGACCTAAACAAATAGTCCATCCGTAATTCTATGTTTGCAATGCGAATGTCATCATGGAAATATGTGCCACACTTATAAGAAATGACAATGACCCCTAGTGGTAGTAACTTGTAGAGACGTAACAGTTCTACCCAGAATAAACTTGAAAAAATGTTGATGTAGCATCTTAACCACATTGCTGATCCTGCCGAAAAATGATGTCTGACTCAAAGAACATGATTAGTTTTATAAATAAATACTGTACTGTTTCAGTTCTGTGTCCGTCAGTGTGTAACTTATGAACACAGCTATTTATACCTTAATGGTGTGTTGACTGTATGGACTTAACACAACTTAACATAACTTGTGAATATACAGTAGTTGATAAATATGACCATTCAAAATGTAAGCAGGTTTTTAAAATGGTTGGAAAACATCCAAATAAAAAATGAATGGTAAAGATACAGAGCAGATCAGCAAACACAAACTGTAGTCACAAACCTTTAAATGTCAGATAGATAGTGTTTGACATTTTGGGAAGTATCACCTAGCTTATATCCATCTATTCAGTATAAAACTGGTGCCAATAGACAGGGGTCATCTCTATGTTCCCACAGCCTAATGGTCCCACAGCCCAATGGTCCCACATTTCTATATTTAAAAATAAAAATTAGGCCCTATGTTCCCACAGCCCAATGGTTAAGGTTAGTTATAGTTAGATTACTTAGAAATGTGGGACCATTGGGGTTTGGGAACATTGGGCCTAATTTTGAAGAAAAAAAACATATTAAAAATGTGGGACCATTGGACTGTGGGACCATCGGGCTGTGGGAACATAGACACGCTCCCAATAGACAGATAGCATAGCTAAGAATGCTAGCTGTGAAATAGCTCCAAAAGTCAAAATATGTTATACACATTGTATCTCATTTTTAAACCCTCATAGATATTTTTAAGGTGTCACGTTTGGGTTTTACAACAGGGTAATCAATGTTGTATTCTCTCCACTCTCTGCTGTAAGCTTTTATAACAAAGCCAGACAAGCTATGTCTAAGCTAATCGCTAAGCTAACCTGCAGCTAGTTCCAGCTTCACATTGAACTGATGAATTTGATTTATATCTATCTTCTCATCCCACTCTATCCAAGAAAGCAAATAAGCACACACCCTAAGTATTTTTCAAGTGTGTTGCACTTCTAGTCTTAACTAATATACAATTAGCAGGCATTTTAATGGAAAATACCTGCTAACCTGCTGGGAGGGGATGTAGTCAAGTTGCTGCCTGTATTGAGTTTATCTTCCACATGGCTTTATGAAACAGCTTTTATATAGTTTTATTTATTAATCCTGATGCATCTTGTTGTAAAGTAAAGAAAGTCATGACATTGTCCCTCTTTTCCAACCTTCCCCCTGTAGATCCGCAGGGCCTTGCTGCAGATGTTCTTCCCTGACAAGCCTTTCAACTGGCCGGTGCACATCGGCATTACATTGTGTCTCCTGTTTGTGGTCAACCTGCTGGTTATCTTTGTGCCCACCATCCGCGACATCTTTGGATTCATTGGTATGTTTTATACAGGAAAGAGTGGCTGCACGGTCTGGGCTTCCATTATTATCATCATGCCTAAACTGTGTTATCATGTACTGTGTTTGAAAACTCACTTCTTCTTCTCCTCCTTTAACTTCAGGAGCCACAACTGCCCCCAGCCTCATCTTCATCCTTCCTGCAATCTTCTACATCCGTATCATTCCTGAAGACCAGGAACCTTTGAGGTCCAGACCTAAGATTCAGGTACAACTCGGTTCCTTTAGCTATTTTAAATAACTTAAATATAGTAACAGATCGCTACCATAACATTTATTTACCAGATCTTTCAATTTTTTCATTTATCAAGATACCATTTTTTTTTACCAGTTTCTTGTAATTTGTTTAATAATGGCTTCTCTTATCACAAGGAATAAGTAAGAATCATTTCCTTTAATTTCTTCTGGTGTTTTTCCAGGTAATAGTATATGTGGTATTGTATTCAGAGAAATACCAAAAGTAGCTGACATTTCTCTCCTAACCATTTCCCAGAAACCTCTAAGCCTTGGATGACCAAAATATATGACTATGGTTTGACTTCTGCCCTAACCATCCTCTCATTTTGAAGTAAAACAAATGTTTTACTAACTTCAAATATGGGGTGTCTCAAAATAGTGAATAAGAATCTTCTACATGTATCATTTCCAGTCATTAGATTTAGTTGTGTTATGATTGTTTTTGCACCTTAGTTCCTAATGAGCTGATGGTTTAATGCAAAAAATGCATACATTATTTTGACGTTAACAAAGACTTAGTTAATGGTTGTTCTTTTAACCATTTTAATTAGGAATTGTGTGTCCACCCAGGATACGTTATACTAAACGTACATTTTAATTAGTTTAAGTGTGTTGTTGATACCAATGTCCATTTATTCCTTTCCCCTCCTGCAGGCTGCATGCTTTGCTGCGTTGGGAGTCGTCTTCATGGTCATGAGTTTGTCGTTTATCATCATCGACTGGGTGACCGGGGAGTCTCGGAGCGGAGGCGGACACTAACTGTCTCCACAGAGAAATTAAACGAACACAATGCCATCCCAAACTCTCCGTTATTAAACCCCTCCTCTCTTTTAAAGCCAAACAGGAAAACAAAAGTTTGGCAGCACAAGATGAAGAATATGTGAAGTTCTCCTATACAACAGAAAAAATAATAATGGAGATAAATGAGAATACAAAGAAATGTATTCTGACTGAATACAAAGTCATGCCTCGCTATAAGGATGTTTGGAGGCATGTGTAGAAATGCAACCAAAGGATGAATGGGAACAACATGACTCAAATGGAAATCCCATTTAGAGTATGGATGTGTGAAAATGTCAGTTGTCCATCCGTCAGTTGCTGTTTCAATATACATTTAGGACTGTAAAAAATGCTGGTGCTTTGTGTCAAAATTACCCCAAACTTTCAAAGAAGCTGCAAAATACGAGCAGTGAGGCTGAGGCCAGGCTAACCTTTCCACTCTACCTAAACACACTTTTCAATGACTTGTACATGGAGTTTAACATTTTCTTAACGTGACTTTTTTAATCTATACTGACACTTAACATGACTCCTGTAGAAGTGATCATCTCCAAAGCTGAGCCTGAGATGGTCTTTTATAAATAATACAACAGAAATGGTGCAATGTGTGGTGTTCAGCTGCTATCAATGAAGGTCAAACAGACAGTTAAAGACAATCACATGTGAATCAAAAGAGATGGTTTGTACAGTTTTTTATGTATTCCTGAAAAAATAAAAAAGGTTGTTAAAACCCAGAGATTATACTTTTGTGTCATATTGAAAGAGGGTGTATCACACTTTAAAAAACAATTAATTAAGGGGGGAAAAAGCCATTTAAAAAGTGTACATGAAATAATGTCAGTGTTAATGAAGACGTGTCTGTTATAGCCGCCCCAGAAACTGTTCAGTATGGTGAATAATGACCTATGGGTTTTTAAGTTTTAAACTTGTGTTTAACATTTGACTTACAAACATGTTTTGACTTTGTTATTCATCCTGTACCTTTTTTTAGTTAATTTGAATGTTGATATCTGTCAATAAAATGTGTCTTTCATTTGTACAAAGTAGCTTTTTTTCAATCCACAGCTTTATCTCAGGTTCAGGTTCTTTATTTGGACCCGTAGGTAGATTTGGTTTGCAGATAAAAGACAAAGGATCTTGCAAGTCTCTTCAGTGAGAATATCACAAAATGATTTGAAAAGAAAAGCAAGTCAAAATAAAAAAAATAAAAATTAGATTTTTTTTTTTAAAGGAAGTGACATTTAAAAAAGGGCACATTCTAAGAAAAAGCATATTTAGAATAACTTTATTCGTCCCACAGAGGGGAAATGTACATTTGTTACAGCAAGTAAAGAAAAAAGATAGCTTAGTATTAATCCAGAAGCATGCATGAACATTTTAAAGATAAAAGTAAACAATTATTACTATTTACAATTTACAAAATACACTTCCAGTACCGTAACAGTTTTGACAACACTGCTACTGTGACTAAATTATTTAAATAAAGTCTTTATCTGTCTATTTATATATCTATCAAAAAAACATTTAAAACCCACAAATACAAACATGAGCAATCCACAAAGGTAATATATAAATTACAACTGTGTGACACTACTACAACTACTTTGTGTAATTCACTAAAGTGGTTGTAAAATGAATGCAGTCACAGCATTAGGAGCCAAAGTGCACTGCCTCTCTGAAAATGGAAGTCACACATTCATTCGTGCTGCTGCATCTGAGAGAAAGAAGAAAAGTGGGGGTTAGAGAAGTGCGGTTGTCCGTTTCCTGCTTTCAGTTGATGTGTGCGCAGAACAGAGAAGAGAAACTTCCTTGACTTTAGAGCTCAGTATTCTGAACAGAGGACGACTGTCTTTTTTTTTTTGTTTCTTTAAATGCTGTACACATTCACTTGAGACAAGCAGGGAGATTTATCATCATGAGCCGTGGATCGAAAACTAAATCGGAGGGTGCCAGGAGCTCTCTGCTGAGCCAACAGGAGAATGAGAAGTGTGAGGAGCTAATGGGCAGAAGATGTGCTGTAAGTTAAAGCAAACTGAGGAAGGGGGGGGGGTCCCACCTGCTGTATTTGTCTTGACTTGTATGCTACCTGATACTGAATTTGTCGTGCAAGTGGAAAGGAGTGGCCGTCCAAGATAATACAGGTTATTCTGGTTGTTCCATTTAGTAATGTTGTCTCAGCCCTTAAGGCTCTTGGATATCCTGAGTTTGAAAGTGCGCTGTGGATTTATTTAATGAAGTTTATTTGAATTCCGGTCGATTTGTTTAATGACATTTATTTAAATTCCAGTCTTACTTTGACATATGTTTCCGTCACAAGACTGTGTGCATGCAGTTTAAAATGTATTGCTGACATTAGGTCATCAGAAAAGAGGAGGTAGCTGTAGCAGGAAATGGTGGCTGAACCATTTCCTCCTCTGGTGTCAGAATTAGACTCTAGTGTTGTTTAGTCTTACAGTAGAGCAGAAGTTGGCTTTGTTCCTGACTTTGTTTAAGCCACTGAAGCAAGCACTGTCAGTGAGCCGCAACACATTGACTCTAGCTGCATATTTCTCTCGTATGCTATCTGTGCATGCAAATTAAGAGCAGCACAGCACTTTAAAAAAGTTGTTGTTTGAACAAGTGAATGCACGCAAGGAAGTGGATCCTCACCACACATTTACATGAGGCGCAATAAAAGTGTCCTATCAGCACTTATGTGTTTTTTAATGCATGTTTTATCTCTTTTGTGTGTTCAGTCCATGGCCACTGCAGTCGCCCAGCTGTTCATGGCTCTGCCTCACAGCCCCTCGGTGTGGAGCCTGCAGCAAACTGGAGTCGTGTGCTTCGTCAAAGACAACCCTCAGCGCTCCTACTTCATACGGATGTTTGATATGAAGGTAACCTCACTGACACAGGTGTCATTTAAGCTGGGGAAGCTGGAGAAAACACTTTTTTAAATGGCCAATATAGTCCCAAACACTTTTCTAAAGTAGGCTATATCTTGTTAAAAAGGTTCTGAGTTTCTTTTATTCAAGAAAGTATAAATGAACATCATGCACTATAATACACACCAAACATTGACATTGGTGTACACAGGTACACATACAGATACAAATAAAGTGTAAAATAAATATATAAATAAATAAATATAAAGAAAATAGTAAGGAAGTAAACAAAAGTGAATGATTAGGCGAAAAAATATTTATGAAATTCAATATTTCTTTTGTTTCTAATCGTTGTTGTAATTCTAAGTAAAGATTTGTAAACATGTGGTTAAGAGTCAGTCCATTTCTTCACGGGAAATGTATACATTTAGTTGTATTAAACATTTTTTTATCAAATCCATCACCTTAAAAGTTTATAAAAAAGTCCTCATCCTGAAGTTGTATCGTTTGTCCCGTTTTTCTTTTTAGAAAATATTCAAAAACAGACAAATGACAAATTGTTTCTATTGTTCAAACTTCTTGGTGTATTTCCGGAGACCCAAGTGTGACACAGTTAACATCAGTGAACTTTAAATAGAAAATAGAAAGAGTTTCCGCTTTGGAGCAGCAGGGCCCAGGCGCTAAACTAGTTGCCAACTAAATTAAATAATGTAACAAATGATTGACACAGTTTATTTTAGTCTAAGTTTAACATTATGCTTTTATTTGTATATGCTGTACGCTGTTGAGTTGGGTTTACAGCATTGAAAATCAAAGCCATGTCTGCAGACGTCTTTAGGTGTTAATATCAGAAAATAGCCTATATGATACTGCGTGTGGGGGACTCACTATAGCTTGTTTTGTTTATCTGAAAAGTGTCCCCATCCTTTCACTTCACTGCCATTGTACCAAGAGCTTGTTGTATGATTGCACTAAAGTATTTTGGCCCTTTTCAAACTAATTTAAGTCAAATCAAATTACATTTTATTTATGTAACCCAATGTCACAAAACACATTTGTGTTTGCTGGGATCCCCGCTCAATGGCATAACATCAACATTTGCAAGTAAACTTATAGCCCTAGCATGCCTTTCAACTAAACGCCTCGTTCTTATGAACATGAAAGTCAGAAAGCCCAACTGCTTCAATTCCAATAGATGGCTGGAGGACTTCCTAAACATCTTAAGTATGGAAGAAGCTGCTTTCTCCCTGTTATATTTGGTTAAGCCAGGCAACAGGCTTTGGGATAANGTGTGCCTTGGCAGTCTCAGATGCTAATAATGCTAATGCGAGCAAATAAAATGGCGGCTTCACAAAACTTTTCTGAGTTTTACGGGGCGTGGTTTGCAATTCGCCCAGCCAATCAGAAACCTCTCTATCAGGGACTGAAAAGGGGGGAAAAGTTCTCATGAACTAAGTTCTCTTTTTGTTGTGAACGCAAAATCCCAGGAACTATCGGAACTAAAAGGGAGAAGTACGGGGAAAAGTACTCCGGTGTGAAAGCGCCTAATGGTGCTCTAGGAGGAGATTCAGCTGATTGGCTAATGGTTACACAAGCCAAAAAATCTGATCAGCTCATTTTCAGACAGGTTTGTATATAAATGGATCAGGACGAAAAGAGGGAGAATCTTTTTTCCTGAAACTTTCAGAATCTCTTTACACAGAGGGGACACTTGTTTTTGTATCCATCTTNCATATACACACACATCTCTTTCTCTTCTGATTGATTCACCTATTCATCCATTTCCCATTTAATTTCACTTCTTTCATTATTATTACCGTTATTTTTCTGACAGAAAAATAACGGTAATAATAATGAAAGAAGTGAAATTAAATGGGAAATGGATGAATAGGTGAATCAATCAGAAGAGAAAGAGATGTGTGTGTATATGTACATATGTGTGCATATATATATACTTATTTATTTATCTATTTATTTACCAATTAAACAATGACGCAAATCATGTATAAATACAACGCCATATGCATACATCAAATGTAACTGACACTGTAATCCCGCTGCCCCCCAGTCTTCATGTTATGTCCTGTCCTACTTGTGATGTGTGTGAGCCATGTCCTTGCCCGTGTGTTTTTCTCTTTTGAAAATGTTTAATAAAATATAAAAAAAAAATTTTTAAACAGTAAAAACACATTTGTGTCAGTGGGCTTTACAGATAAAAAAACATGACTGACAATAAAAAATTTTTAAAAAAAATTAAAATACAAATAATAATAAATAAAATGAAACAAAATAAAAGGCATAAAAAACCCAATAAATATACAAAAAAATAACAAATAAATAAAATACCATAAAATGTTGGACCGAGGAGGACGCTCTGTATGGAGAAGCCTGAAACCAGCCCTAGCTAAAGGCTTTATTAAAAGAAGAACTATGGCATCAAATCGATCGCATCTTTCCTGAGTATTATTATTGAAGGACTTAAATATTCAACATGTTTTTTTTCCACAGATGGGGAGGATGGTTTGGGAGCAGGAGATCTACAACCAGATAGTTTACTCCTCACCACAACCGTTCTTTCACACCTTCGAAGCGGATGTAAGCAAACCTTCATTTACCACCAGGTGCACTGCAATTTTCTTCTTTTAAACCGTCAGTACCGTCACAATTACTTAACATATTTGTTATTTGCCGCTTGCTCGACGCAGGACTGTCAAGTGGGACTGAACTTTTCGATGCAACAGGAAGCAGAAGACTTCCGACACGCTGTGGAAGACAAAATCAACCAGAGAAACACTCGTCAAGGTTAGTGAGGTCACAGAGACCACTTTCATGTGTATTTTAAGCATGAAATGAATACTGCAATTCAATATGCAATATGTGTTTATTCGTTATTGGGCTCATTGCAATATGATCCTGGAAAATAAAAGCTTTAATCAATTTTAATGAGGCTAATTTTGGCAAAAATCTGACACATTTTACAAGTGAGTCCTTATCAAGAAGCCTCTTGCTTCTTAAATTAAACAGAAATTGTTAAATATTCTCATATTATTATGGAAAATATAGGAAATGCTAATGAGTCGAAATATAATTGTTGATTCATAATTGTGAATTAAAATTAGTAAACACTCTTATTCAACAAAGTTTTTTAGGATGTTTTAGAAGAATGAAAAACATTGTTATGGTGTTTTAATGTGTCCCAAAATGGTTTCTCTCACCTGCTTGTTATTGACAGTTAAGAAACAGCGCCCCCCGCCGCCAAGTGGTAAGACAACACTACATTTCACATCTGCACAATTTCATTTACATATGTAGCAAACAATAAACGGTTTCCTTCCTGTTTCCTGTCTCTGCAGATAGAGGTAACCTGCCTCGAGTCCCCATTGAAAAAGGTGCGTTAAACACATCTGTAACTTTTACTACCGCAAACAATCAGTGGTGGAGAGCAACCAAGTACATTTACTAAATGTTGAGATACTTATATACTTTATGTTCATATTATGCTACTTTATACTTTTACTCCATGTTAAAAATAAAGACCTTTTTGAACATTAAAGCAGGTAAATATGTCACAGTAGAGACACACAATACAAATATTAACCTGAAAATGAGCATAATAGGGCCCCTTCAAGTCAAACATCTTTAAAATAATGGTCACCTATTATGCAAAATCCACTTTTTCATGTCTTTTATAGATAAGATGGATACAAAAACAAGTGTCCCCTCTGTGTAAAGAGATTCTGAAAATTTCAGGAAAAAAGATTCTCTCTCTTTTCGTCCTGCTCCATTTATATACAAACCTGTCTGAAAATGAGCTGATTAGATTTTGGCCACTTTATGATGTCATAACGATTTTTTGGCTTGAGTAACCATTAGCCAATCAGCAACCAAGGTAACTCGCCCACCTTATCACCTGAATCTCCTCCTAGAGCACCATTAGGCGCTTTCACACCGGAGTACTTTTCCCCGTACTTCTCCCTTTTAGTTCCGATAGTTCCTGGGATTTTGCGTTCACACCAAAAAGAGAACTTAGTTCGTGAGAACTTTCCCCCCCTTTTCAGTCCCTGCTAGAGAGGTGGTATATCCTGGGGAGAAAACATTTCCAATTTCTGATTGGCTGGGCGAATTGCAAACCACGCCCCGTAAAACTCAGAAAAGTTTTGTGAAGCCGCCATTTTATTTGCTCGCATTAGCATTATTAGCATTAGCCCAGCGTACCAACGGAGAGAGACTAATTTATGGCAACACAAAATAAAACGTGGGAGTGATGAGGAAGTGTTGGCGTTCTGGCGATTTACTCGGAAGGCTTCAGTAGAAGCTGCTGCCAGTCCCCAACTCCGTGGACTTCCGGCCGGGGACTTCGGGTGGCAGTAAACGCCGTGAAGTTGTTTGCGGCCTGCCAGTAAACCCAAAGCAGAAGAAGAAGAAGTGACGTCAGCGGCTTCATTTGCCTAATCCATCCCCAGGGATTTATTCCGGTGTGAACGCGATCTAAGTACGGCAAAGTACTTGGTGTGAAAGCGGCTATTTAGTGTTTTTTTCCACCAAATGTCTCTCAGAGGGGCGTGAGGAGGGGCTCCTTATTTTCATCTAAAGTAACAGACAGAGAATCAGCACTTTTGAAACAGGGCTGAAACAGAGGGGATTATGGGATGCTGCAATGATCTGTTTGGTGTTTCGAGCCAAACACTTCAGAGACATGTTTTGTATATATCTGAGACCTATGATATATTGATTAAAAACAGTATAATAGGGGACCTTTAAAGTAAAACATCTAAAGAATAATAAGCCTACACCATCCTTAACGTCTGTCTCTCTTCCTGAAGCGTCCCCAGGCGGCCATGGTGCTCTCCACATGGCCACAGTGGACATCCAGAACCCGGACATCCATTCCTCTCGGTACCGCGCGATGCCTCCTGCTGCTGTTTCCTTAGGCCTGAAGAAGGACAAGGACAAGAAGAAAGGAAAGAAGGGCCCCAAACTCTCCAAAGCAGACATCGGGGCCCCCAGTGGATTTAAGTGAGTGTTTTAGCAGATGGATGTGTTGCCTTAATGTCGAAAGGGACTAAGTGTGTTTACTCATGTGCTGAACTTGATTTTAAGGTGTTTGTAATTTACATTAATATTTCCATTCCATCTACATTTCTACTCCACTGCAACCCCAGGGCAAACGTTTTTCTTTTTACTCAACTTAATGTATTCAATAACTTTAGTTACTTTATACAAAAATATAACAGATTATTTATCATCTGTTATTCTTATGGGTTATGATAAACCTAACTGATCCCTTGGTGAAATTCACAAGCTACCCAGTAATAGCTTTTTAAAAAATACAATTAATAAGCATCTAAGGTTCTTCTTTAACGGGTGCAACATTGAAGTGATGACCACTTAAATGCATCAATAATCAAGCTTATTATAATAAAAGCCATTTGTTATTTTCATGGGCTGTTATTTTTATTTTTTTATTCAACCAGATAAAAGCATTGAGATAAAATCTCATTTTTAATGCTGACCTGGCCAAGAAGGCAGCAACGTTACACATAACACAAACATATAACATACAGAGAACATAAGTAAGAAAACAAAACGAAAAGCAGTCACTACATTGTGCACATTAGGACAGGAAGAAAGGTACTACTTATTACTGCAAGAGCAGCTGGTGGTAAGGACCTCAGACAACTTCAATTTAAAACATGCTATTGAGACAAGTGCCGTCAGTTTGAGGCGTGATTGAAGGTCATTCCAAGACCAAGGACCATAGTAACCGTATCCAGGCACTGGATCTGAGGTTGTGAGAGTCACAAACTGGAGCAAATCTGGCACATATGTAGAGTGGAAGCTTACCTAAAATGGCTTTATACATTAATNTTTTATTCAACCAGATAAAAGCATTGAGATAAAATCTCATTTTTAATGCTGACCTGGCCAAGAAGGCAGCAACGTTACACATAACACAAACATATAACATACAGAGAACATAAGTAAGAAAACAAAACGAAAAGCAGTCACTACATTGTGCACATTAGGACAGGAAGAAAGGTACTACTTATTACTGCAAGAGCAGCTGGTGGTAAGGACCTCAGACAACTTCAATTTAAAACATGCTATTGAGACAAGTGCCGTCAGTTTGAGGCGTGATTGAAGGTCATTCCAAGACCAAGGACCATAGTAACCGTATCCAGGCACTGGATCTGAGGTTGTGAGAGTCACAAACTGGAGCAAATCTGGCACATATGTAGAGTGGAAGCTTACCTAAAATGGCTTTATACATTAATAAAAACCAATGTATACAGAAGGAGGTTTTATTGACACTGATAGACACACTTTGGAAATACACATTTTATTCAAGAGAAAGCACCTCATCTTCCACCGGATGTCAGGCGGGGAAGTTTGGTAAATGTCTAGAGAGGAGCTCATTTTTCAATATTTGTAAAATGGTGTCTCTTCTCTGTTTGTTCCCCTCCTGTCAGGCATGTTGGTCATGTAGGCTGGGATCCGAACAACATCGACCCTGATATGTGGAAGCTGCTCTCTCAGGCCGGGATCAGTGCGGACGCGATGAACGACGAACAGACGTCGCAGATGGTTCTCAACGTCATCGAGCAGTCCGGAGGCATGGAGGCCGTCAAAAGGGAGATGAACAGAGGTAAGACTCACTCTCAATCAGTTTGAGACTCACTCAGATTACACTTAAACTTCTAGAGATGTCAGACTGCAAAGGAATTCATTGAGTATATAAAAAACCTTCTGTCTGTTGTAAAACTTGTTAGCGGTAAAATCTGTTAATGGTGAAAACTGTTAGGGGTCCATCAGAATCAGAAACACGTTTATTTCCAAGTAAGTTTAAACAAAACAGGAATTTTCCTTGGTGGAAATGGTGCATATATAAAGACAGTCTGTGAATCACTAATTCATCCTGTGAAAAAGGCAAAGGTGAAAATGTTGAGAGTAATTTTTGGCTTAGAAGTGCGTCCAACACATGACTTATATTTATAGGTTATTGAAAGATCTCCCTCAGGAATTTTGCAAAAAGTAAGATCTTTCATGAACACACGTTTTTGAAATTTACATGTTTTGCTCAGCAAGATAATCTCCACAGATTACCACCGCCTTCATTCATTTCTGATGTAAAAACCTAAAGACATTAGGCGATAAAGGAACATCACAGTCACACGACTTCATGTCACCACCGGCTAATGTTCGGCGTGATGGCGTTTATTTAGTCACTGGTTGGAGATTAGCCAGTAGATAATGTTCTGACCTATTTTATGTCGTAGAACAAAATGTGAACATATCTCGTGTTAAACACAGACTTTATTTCAGGCGTCTAACCAAGAACACAAAGAAAAAAACGTTGACTTTAAAAATGGGGAACCAGAAGTGATAAATGTCTAACTTTAACTTTTAGATGCTGTTTAACTCAACAAACGGAAATGTAATGTTCCTCATTATTAATCTTACTGTCACCACTTGCTAATATCATTTATTTTCTAAAGCTTAAGCTAAATAGTGACTCATATCTTGTTGCCCTCCAGATGGAGCCCCCCCCCCTCCGCCTGGCAGGCAGGGGCCCCTCCCTCCGGTCCCGGGCCTCGGGGCCCCGGCGCCTCCACCTACTCGGAGCCGCTCCGGCGCCCTGCCTCCTGTCCCAGGACACTCACCCCACTCTTCTCCTGGACGTGGAGCCCTACCACCCCCCCCTCCTTCATCAAACAGAGGCGGACCTCCACCTCCTCCACCCTCACACTCTGCTCCCTCTCACTTCCCCTCACCTCTTCCCTCTCACGGCCCCCCATCAATCCCCTCTCACAGCCTGCCTCCTCCTCCACCATCCGGCCCACATCGCTCCATGCCACCTCCTCCTGTCCCATCTACACCCAACAGAGGGGGAGGTGGAGGGCCTCCTCCTCCTCCTCCACCACCACCTCCACCTCCCTCTTCAAATGCCCCTCCTCCTCCTCCTCTTTCCAGTGTAAAACCATCAACACCAGCCGGAGGAGGAGGAGGAGGAGGAGGAGGAGAAGAGCCCCGAGGGGCTTTGCTGGATCAGATCCGACTGGGGAAGAAGCTCAAAAATGTAAAACAAACTTATTTCTCTCAAAATATTTTTGCTATAATACACAATTCTTGATTTGAATGAGGCATATTTAAAGGGGCCCTAATCTGCTCATTTCCAGGTGTATATCAGTATGTAGTGTCTCTCCTATGACATTTCTCTATGCTTTAATGTTCAAAAAGCTCTTTATTGTTCTCATACTGCCTGTGCTGCAGCACCTCTTTTCACCCTCTGTCTGAAACCAGAGCCCAGTCTGCTCTGATTGGTTAGCTGGCCGCTCTGTTGTAATTGGTCAACTGCTAAGAGATGTCCCGTCCCCCTGAGTCTATCACAAAGTGTTGGAGGGATAGCCAATAGAAGCTTGAGTGTATAATAGTGATGTCCCTAGGTTCCTGTAAACAAAGGAGTCCAATGGAACCTTTCAGGCAGCGGGGAGGAGAAAGTGAACAAACAGATTTTAGCCTTTGCAGACCATTTACTTGCATAACAACCTATATAACCCCTTATATAGGGCCCCTTTAAAACTGTGCTTGGTAGGACTGCACGACAAAGCATGTAACAAATAATCTGCCTCCTGCGATTTGATTTTTTCACTTAAGGCACCAATATTTGGATTTGTACTTAGTTTCAATGAGTTGTTCTGCCCTAGTGCCTCTACATGTGTAGCAGATGTTCAAACGCTGTCCTCTTGTCTTGTTGCAGGTGATAGACAGTCCTGACACAGCTCCAACGGACTCCAATGAGGGCATCGTTGGTGCTCTCATGATGGTCATGCAGAAGAGGAGTAAAGCCATCCATTCCTCTGGTAAATATCACAATACCATCACGACATGGAGCCAAGAGGGCCATAAACAAAGGTCTCATATATATTTACATATGTCCTTTTTTTCAGATGAAAGTGAAGATGAGGGAGGAGATGAAGACGAGGATGACGATGAGTGGGATGACTAGTTTCAGGATTTTGAACTTATGTAAACATTTGAATCACAATACTGGTACATGTTGGTTGTTAAGTTATGATTGGTTAAAGGTATAATATGCAGCATTTTCATATAAAAAGAAAACACATATAGTCTAAAAATAAAAATGACCCCTCTCAATCCTCTCTTATGTCAAACTAGCAGTTTGTGGCAGTGTTTGACCCTGCTGCCCTCTGCCTGTATTATCGCTGTTCTTTTTTTTGTTGGGATATTTCTAGGTAAAAAAAACGTGTGCTGCTTTTTCTCAGTCTCAGGTTTTCAAATACAGATACTGGGACAACAGAAAGCCTTTTGCCGGTATATAAAGTTGTGGAGAACAAGTTGTTCATTTTTAAGTACGCAAGCGTTTACCATGTCTTTCTGTCCTCTGTTGTGTTCTAGTTTGATTCAACATACACCCACACCCACACACACACACACACACACACACAGAAAAATAACTTGGCACGAAGAGAGGAATTGGTACAGAAGGCATTTAAAAGAGTGCCTCAGAGCTGTCAACTTGATTTGTTGACCTGCATCATCTGTTCATTGTATTTTATCATGCTCTGTTAGCTGAGCATAACAGTATTCATGACAACATATATTTGTACTTCTTAATTTAATTCCCAACGGGGCGTTAAGACTCAAGAATGTGTCAAGCTGAAAAGATATTCCGACAAGGGACAACCTTGTGAAAACAAACATAATCAACTTAAATGAATTAAAGAAAACTTGAAAGAAACGGTTTTATTATGGTATTTCATTCTAGATGACACTTATTATGAAGCTTATGGTATTTTGTTGTTGTTGACGTGTTACGCAAAGTGAGTGCTAAACTATCAATATTTTATTAACAAGCTCTAATGGCATGGACCGTGCATGATCCAACTGTTTACTATATCATTTTTGTCATATGGATTGTCTATTTTGTAATTTTACTATGTTTTTTCATTTGGAAAAAACAAAATCCATTGCAAATCTGTCCGTTCTGGGAGAGGGACCCCTCCTCTTTTCCTTTTTCTGAAATCTCTTCCATTTGTCTGCCGTTATTGTGGGTTTCCTTTTGAGGAGTTTTTTATTTTGCATTGCAAGGGTCTAAGGACAGAGGGTGCTGTATGCTGTACGATCTGTAAAGACCCCTGAGACAAATGTGTAATTTGTGATCCATAAATAAAAACTTTATTACTGAAAAACAATATTTTATTCTGCCTAAAGTTTTCATCATTCAATAAATACAAGCTTTGTTGGTTCCAGATAGATTGGATTTGCCAATACAATTGCAATTGAGAGCCAATTATGATAATAACTTTGCATATTTGTTAAGTGTTCTGCCAGCTTCAATTATGACATTCATAAGCCATTCAAAATAAACAGTCAATTTTAAAGATTTGCAACAACTGTAAGTTTCAAACATGTCTTTTTTTCAGTCTGTGTAAGTATCAGACCGTTTATCACTAAAGGAAACCAGAAACCAACATAACTACATTTAATAGAGATTGGAGAGAATAGAGAGGGGATCAGGAAGTAGGGTATTTAGGTTTTTAAAAAGGACAAGGACTATTTTTAGATTTTAGGTTGCTGATCCATACTGACTCCATTCCAGAAGGTGGCGGTAAATGCACCTAAAAGCTGTTTGCCAACCGCCATCAAAAGAAGAAGAAAACAAAGAAGGAGAGCTTAAAAGTTAGCAGTCAGCTTTTTAAATGTCCTAAATAACTAACAAAGAGCTAATTATTTTAGGTAATATATTCTGTAACAAGGCAGAAAAGGTGTTAAGGATGTGACTATACAACCCTTTTTTTCAGAAGAAGATTCTTGTTAGTATTTTTCTAATTTAGTAACGGACGTTAAACAGACGTTAGCTTTGTTGTTGTGTTGCTGTAGTAGTTGTTGTCATTACGTTAACGGTTGAGTTCGAGTTCGTCACAAACGTCTCACAAGCCGTTAAAAAATCGTCTATAGAAACTTGTTTGGTCCAGTAATATTGTAAAAATGGACGATTCCTCCGTGATAAACAGAGCCGGTGGAGCAGATAAATGCTATATCTGCCTCAGCCCCTTTGGAAAGCAAACAGTGGCTTCTCTGGAGAAATGCCAGCATGTATTTTGCCTTAAATGTATTCTGCAATGGTCCCAGGTAAACACACACTTCACCTGTCACCCCCTGTCCTGCTAAACGTGTCAGCCATCATACTATAGTATCAGTATAATACTCCAAGGTGCAACAATCCCAAATTGGCAAGATATATACAAATATTGACACAAGTTGTGTTTGAAAAGTAGTGACAGTAGACATGTTTATCCTTTTATAACTTAAAAATAATTCTGTATATTTGATAGTGTCTACTCTTCCTTTCTATCTATCTATCTATCTTATCTATCTGTCTATATATATAATTGGGAAATTAGGGTTGCAGTGTTATAAGCTTTTTGCAGCACAATACCATCAAATCCTTTAAACAATGTCACCAGGGGCTCTGACATGATGCTTGATGGATTGCCTCTGTACACGATGTGAATCAAAGTGTAAAACACTATTATGTATAAGCTAAGTTTCATGTGTTTCGTCTTAAATCTCAGACAGCCAACACCTGCCCCGTGGATCGGATCAATTTTGGTTTTATCTACCAGAGACGGTGTCCTGGAGGGGACATTCAAAAGAAGGTGAGTATTTACAGTGTCCTGAAGTATTTGGAAATGCATGGAAATACTTTGGAGCTAAACTGTTTTGTGGTGCCGCTTCTGCAGATAAAAGTGAGGACAAAGAAAAGGAGAGAAGAAGATGATGATGAGGAGGAGGAGAGCCCTGCTGTTATCTGTGAGGAATGTGGACGCAGCGACCGCAGGCACCGGCTGCTGGTGTGCATTCACTGTGACTCAGGGTATGGCATTTGAGTGCTTGGGAGCTTAACACAGCTTTATCAAGTGTTATTTTGATCTTTATTTGTTGGTACATATCAGTGGTATTGTCAAAGCAGAAGCATTATAGTGAGTTGCACTTGAATTTTGTTGTTGTTGAAGTTGTAGATGGTGCTGTTCTCACTGAATCAGAGCATGAGAGGCAGTGTTAAATTGAGCGAAATGAGGAATGGCTAAAATGCATGATCTGTTTGGTATTTTGAAAAATGAAAAGTATAAATATGCCTTATATAGGTATGGTCCTACACTATATTATTCAAATATAGCATGATAGGTCCACTTTAAATACATGTTGTAAGAGCCAACATGCTAATTTAGCACCAGTTTATTCTTTTACTCTTATCATTATTTGGTAACACTTCACACATTTGTTTTGAGCACTTCCAGCAATTGTCACTTGGGCGTGGTTAAATGGTATTTAGTCCGCCTGTTTTGCTGCGAGAGGGCAAAGGGTGGTACAGACAGAGAGATTTTGAAT